CCCCCATTAGCATCATCAAAGGGTGTTCCATCATAATCAATCATGCACATACAAACAGTCAATAATAACATACGTATTCATAGCATTCAGTTCAATGTACTATATAAAATATACACCAAATACATAAGCAGCTACAAAATCCATAACAAATGACCAATAAAGAAAATATCTCATTCAGAATAATGCATACACAAATTTCATCAACTGCAAACATATTTGAGAATAAGCAATTTATCACTATAGTTTAAAAATACACGTACTTACCTGGTTTGCCTTGAAGTTGATTCCCCTAACAGAAACCTAATAAACATGATATTAATAATATCAAATTTTAATTACATTATTATTTTAGTTAGTTATTATTTTACATTATTCATTAATAAAATTTTATATTTTACTTTATGTAAACTCGCTAAATATTCTATTTAATATATATATATATATATATATGTTTGTGTGTGTGTGTGTGTAATTTTATAATTAAAATCGAATAAATACTCTACCTTCTTCGGCCAAACCCTAACACGCAAAAAAAAAAAATTGCTGCACGGGCTTAGCACTCACATGGCTTCTTCCTTCGCACGGTAAATTCTCTTCATTGCATCCGCTCCTCACATGCACTACCGTTGCGCCTTCTTCCTCTCTTTCTTTTCCATCGACTCAATCGATCGAGATCGACCGAATAAGGTGCACGAGGATCCTCTTCTGTGCGAGCTTTCTACACCCCTTTCTCTTCACCATAACAGCATTCACCGCAGCCACAAGATCACAAAAGTTCTCTGCTTCCCTTATCGACTCTCTGGTAAGTCGTTTGCGACTCTTTAGATGTGATTTTCACCTCTTTGGTTTACCAACACTTCTCGTTTCTTATTCTCTCGTCATTCATTATCTTGAACCCCTCCTTTCCTCTTCGATTCTTCATTTCCTCTTCCAATTTCTCAACACTTCCCTTCTTTTCCTCTCCCTTCTGTTCCTCTCCACATATAACTGAAACGAGCTGTTACAACAACTGTGGTGAAGTAGGCCATCTGAGTAAGGTTTGTCCCAGGCCACCTACGGAGAAAGAGATAAATAGACGAGGACAATTTAGAGGATATGGTCGTGATCGCGGTGGTTAAAGAGGTGGAAAAGGGTCTATCAAAAAGATCTGATGGTGGTAGAGGATGAGAGAAACATATGTGATTTTTACCGAAGAGGATTATGAATTTCTAGAGAGGTTGAAGAGGAAATAAAAAGCAGCAGGTAATAGAGCTGAGGACACATCCAACCCATCGTCATCAAGGGATAAATTACTACTTATACTTACTCTGACAAAGATGCTCGTAATACTCATGCTCTTGCCACTATTTTTTCAACATTACCAGAATGAATAGTAGATTCTGGTGAATCTTGAAATGTGACAGGTACTGCTAGAAAGTTCTCTTATACTTACCTAGCAGTTCCGAAGAGCATCCAAACTAATGATGGTACAACATAGCCAGTAGTTGGTAAGGGCATAGTGAGATGTAACAATTCCATGATTTGACCAATGTTTTGCATGCTCGTTTTCTAGCAAACATTTTATCTATTAGTGTCATTATTCTCCAACTAAAATGTGTTTTTTCGTTTGATATTCCTAAGGTGATCTTCTAAGAGAGAGACGGGTCGAACACTTGGGACTGGAATATGACATAATGGACTCTGATACTTGAACCAGGAGGAGACGGACTCAACTTTGATATCCATGATAGAAAATGCTAAAGTACGAGAATTTAGGGGGAGTGCGAAGGAGGTGTTGCTGCTACATCACAAATGCATGTGATAATTATTTTAATTTCCTGAGTTTATTGCATTATTATTTATAGAAAAAACAAATAAATAAAAAATTATTTGTGATGACAGTGAGTTTGGCAAGCTTACTAAGCGCTCTTATATCAATTCTGGGAATAAGAGTTCTGGTGTTTTTCACTTAACACATTTTAGTATTTGAAGATCTTCTAAAAGTTCTATGAATGTTTATCGTTATTTTGTGATATTTATTGATTGTTTTTCTCATGTTACTGTATTATATTTGATGAAAAATAAGAGTAATATGTTTGCTTGTTTTAAAAACTTCCACAAGATAATAAAAACTCTTGTGGTGCGGTAATGAATTTATTGAAAGCTGATAATTAGACAGAGTAAACCAACAAATCATTCGGGAAATATTTGTAAGCTCAATGGATACAACATCAAATCAGACGTCTATACACACATACATAAAAACAAAGTAGCATAAAGGAAAAATAGACACTTTCTAGAAGTGGACTGAAGCATGATTATCACAATGAATGTTCCAAAATATTTATGTGGGTAAGCAATTTCGACAACTGCTCTATTGATCTAATAGTGAGATCCTTACATTAAAGATGTTTAGTTGTGCATATTTATAAAGAATGACAGACCATCAATAGAGAAATCGGATCCCAGAACTGTGAAATGTGTGTTTATAGGCTATTTTGCTACCCAAAAGGGGTATGTCTATTGGAACTTGGTAAAGAAGAGACTGTTTATGAGAATGGATGTGTCATTTAGAGAATTTGAACAGTACTACACACAATAGGTGACCTCACCCTACAGTGACTCGTCAGATACTGGAGATATGACGCAGGAAGGGATGAGGTAAAGTAGACAGAGTGATACAAGTGGGAGCAATGTCTTCTCCTATGATGTGAGATGAATCAGTTGAGAAACTAGAAAATGAGAATAAACCCAAAGATGGCGGGATTCAGACTGAAGATGAGCTAAGGGTGCATATAAGAAGAATGAAGTAAAATGAGAGAACAGTGCCTAAAGTGACACTTGTGTCAGTTAGTCCCTTGTCCCAGTCTTCCTTGACTTTTGAGATGCCTACACCCTCTACCTCCGACTCAAAACTCTCAGGTGATATGATTCCTCCTCTTAATCTCACAACTTTAAGGGGAACCTCTCGCAGTAATGTGGGACATCTACCTGATCGTTTTGGGTAGAAACATAACATTGTTAACTTTGTTTCATATTCTAACATATCACCTTTATATAGAGCATTCATTGCAACTTTGGATATTGTATCTATACCCCACATGTTAAAAGATTGTAATGTACGATCCCAAGTGAAAAGTGGCTACGCTTGAAGAGCTTAGGACTCTCGATAAAATTTGAATATGGGAGATAGTGCTACTACCAATGAGAAAAAAGGCAGATATTGGGTGCAAGTGAATCTTCAAAGTAAAGCAAACTCCATAAGGGGAGGTGGAGCGGTATAAAACACGACTGATGGCGAAAGAGTACAGTCAGGCATATGACATTGACTATGACGAAACATTTGCATCAGTAGCAAAGATGAGCAGAGTGAGAACACTGGTTCCTTTGACAATGAATGATGGGTGGAGGTTATACCAACTTGATGTGAAGAATGCATTTATTCATGGTGAGTTACCGGATGAGATACATATGGAAATACCACCAGGATTTTGTACAGTTCAAACAGTGTGCAAGGTGTATGGGCTCAGTACCATTGTATGACTTGATGCAGTCTCGTTGAGCCTAATTTAACAAGTTTTGAAAGACTATGGTGGGTATGGGATATCAACAGATCACTGTAGACTATACAATATTTTTTAGACAACATGAAGATCACACCATTATACTTGTTATGTATGTTGATGATATAATTATCACCGGTGATAGTGAGGTAGAAATTGTTCAAGTAGATGAAATATTAGGAAATGAACTTTACGTTAAGGACATGAACAGTTCAAATACTTTTTTGGGATTGAAGTGACTAATAGAACTAAGGGGCCGGTCCTGTTTCAAAGAAAGTATATACTAGATCTCCTCACGGAAACAGACATGCTAGGTTACAAACCTACAACATCTCTAATTGACCAAAAATCCAAGTTAAATGCAGAGGCAGGGGAACTGATTAATCGTGAGAGGTATCAAAGATTTGTGGGTCATCAGATCTATTTGTGTCACACTCAACTTGACATTTCTTTTGTAGTGAGCGTGATAAGCTGCTACATACATGATCTAAGGAAGGGTCATATGGACCAAGTGTATCAGACTCTGAAACACCTAAAGAGTGCACTAGGGAAGGGGTTAATTTTTAGGAAGAATAGGCATGTAGTCGTTGAGGGCTATTGTGACTCTGACAGGAAGCCCACATCAGAATACTGCATATTTCTAGGGAGCAATTTGATCTCTTGGAAATGGAAAAACAAGAAACAGTCAGTTGTAGCCAGGTCAACATCAGAGGCAGAGTACAAGGTCCTGACATTCAGAGTTGTCGAGATGATGTGGCTTAGAGCCTTGTTGGTAGAGCTCAAGGTCAACCAAAGAGCTTAAATGAAGTTGTGGTGCAACAATAAGTCGGCAATCAGTATTGTCAACAACCCGGTGCAACATGATAGAACCAAACATGTGGACATTGATTGGTTCTTTATCAACGAAAAGCTGAATAACGAACTCTTGGAGCTAAGTTATGTAGCCACTAGAGAGCAAGTAGTTGACTGTATCACCAAAGAACTTAGCTCATTATATATGTCCAGGTTATGTGACAAGATGGGCTTAAAATTAATTTTTGTCCATCTTGAGGAGGAGTGTTAAGATTTATCTGACTGTCTCACCAAAGAACTTAGCTCATTATATCTGTCCAGGTTATGTGACAAGATGGGCTTAAAATTAGTTTTTGTCCATCTTGAGGAGGAGTGTTAAGATTTATATATAATTTATGGTCCTGTTTGTAGAAAGAGAAAGTCTAGAGATTTATTTCTAAAAATGTTATAAGGCTCAATATAAGCCCAGTTCATTTAATGAAATGACCCAGTTCATTTAATGAAATGACGGGGATTTTTTCTTCAAAGCAAATTTATTCCTTTACTCAATATGATGTATATTCATTTTTAGTTTGCTATTCACAAGAGGATATCTTCAATAGCTAAGCATCAAGTTTTTCTCAATATTTATTTTTTAAACATTAATTAATAATACAAGAAAATTACCTGCAAACAAGCCAAAGTTTCTCCAAAAAACAATGTATTCCCATTGGAAAGTAAGCATATTCTGTCAAATAGTCCAAAAACTTCAGTGCTGCTATGGTACATTGTAAAAATGAGAGTACAGCCAGTGCTGGCAAGTTTTTTCAGTGTGACCATCAAGAGTAGAGCAGATACACTATTAAGGAGAAAAAACAAAATTAATTAATAGTAAAAGACAGTTAAATTCATTGAAAAACAAATAAAGAATGATTAAATTAAAAAAAATTGAATTAGAAAGTAACCTGTCCAGATGATGAAGTGGTTCATCAATAAATAAAGCATATGGTCTTGTTACAAGCTCCCTAGCAATACTGACACGCCTCCTCTCACCATGTGGAAGACGCTTCATAAAAAACTGACCACCAATGAGTTTGTCTGCATAATCTCCAAGAGACATTGCCGAAATTGCGTCCTCTACTAGAGCCTTTCTATGAGATGAAGAGCCAGGGAGCTGTAAAAGTGCGGAATAGTATAAAAATTCGCTGACAGTGAGAGATTCTATCAGCACATCTTTCCGATCAACATAGCCCTGAGAAAAAGTAGTTAGCTCGCTACAATAATTAATTTCAGATTTAGCTTTTGAAAATTTTGCAATTTTGTTTATGAAAATTGGCCATTTTGATCAGTGAACCACGCATGCACTACTTCTGTTGTGGAGCTTACAACTGAAAGAGCATAGAAATCAAATAAATATCTGAGAAAAATCAACATGAAAAAAAAGTTTGATATGGTATATGTTACTATAAGAAAAACAAAACATTTTGAAGTGAAAACTTCATAAAACATGTAAATAGAACTCAAGGCGTGATACAGCCAAGAAATCAGCTATTAAGCAAATTGTGGGAGAGCGACATATAAAGATAGTGGCTATAAATGCAACCGCATGATGGTGTAACTAGATTTAATTCTACACCAACAAGGACAAGTGATGCTCATATTTAATTTATCAAACTGGAAGTCAAAAAAGTACCTAAAAAAACATAATATTGGCAAAAGCTAATCAGATAGACAAACTCACATAAGAACCATAAGGCATTGGAGATTTAACCCCATTCACAAAAACTTCACCATACAGCCTTGCTGGAACACGTAATTTACCTGCAAAGCCACAATGACATAACAGAATTCAGTATTCCACACACAAATAGAAAGGCCGAAACATGAAACATGGCTCCTTCATAAGAATCTTTAAAAGAAGCTGTATTCTTAACTAATTGCATGCATAGCCTAGCTAGATTAATTCTCTGCATTATACTTAACTCCCTCTTAAGTATATGTCTGACAGACAAAGCATAGATATGTTTCCTTTTTTTCAAAGACAGAATAAAATTATATTTTTCATCCCTTTACTTAGATGGATATGGAGTATATCAAATCTTGCGTTCAAGACATTTGTCCATGATAAATTTGCAATTCAGCCAGAGCAAGAAGGTTAAAATCCATAACATAGCTTTGAAAATCTTAGATGAGAGCACAAAATAATGAACTGTGTCCTTTGCAAAGTTAAACGCTTCGTGGATATGAATGCACTGCTCAATTAAAAATTACATAAACTAAAACAGATAGCATTTTCTATTTATTAAACTAAAATAAAACTTCTTCATTCATATAAAAATAAATAAAACCTGCAATCGCCCTTAGAAGCGTTGACTTCCCCGATCGAGCAGGTCCCATAATAACTGTAAGTGTCCCTGGAAGAGCATAGCCATTTGAACTCTTGATCACCTTATCAGAATACTTCCTCTTTTCTTTTATAGTTACACAAAGGTCCTTCCAAACAATTGAAGCCCCGGCAACCCTTCTTTCAACAACTGATGAAGAGGGTGCTGATGGAGATGGAAATGACCCACTATTGACCTTAGAAAGCGATGGAGAGGCTGTAGTAGTTGCAACATGGATAGAATCTTCCCCCTCGATGTGAGGATCAATCTCCACATCGTCCCACTCTGGCGAGTCCTCGAATGAAATTGGCTTTCGTAGAGCACCAGGTTTCCTCAAATAGAAAAAGGCACCTGATGGCCCTTTGTTTATAGGACTGCTTGCTGAAGATGAGGAAGATCTATAGTTATCTGAGTAAGATGGTATTTCTTCCATACTATTACTTAACTCTCTCTAAAACCAATTTACGATGCCATAAATTGCCAATACCAAAGACTTGTGTATAAACTACATCTTCTGCATGTAAGATGTTTTTTTTTTTGCTAACACGGCTCTATTGTAATTAAGAAATTCCAACATATGATAACCCTTCAGGGCCATCAACAGACCTTGGCTAGTGAAAACAGGCCCATCCTGCACTAATAAAATAAAATTTAATAAAGGCAAAACTATCCTTATTCTACAAAAGAGGACAACACCATAATACAAAATTAGAACATTGATTATGCATTTACTCAAGGTTCTTGATCTGAGATATTGCATGAAATGGGGAGAAACCTAAATTATTACCTTACAAGAAGAATCAACCCCCAAATTAACAACGAGCAAAAAACAAGAGTGAAACAATAATTAATTTTTTTAAAAAAACTGAAAGAACAATCGTTGACACCACACCAATCTCATCATCACCAACAATACCATTACCCAAAAATAAACTTAATATTCAAATTGCAAGAAGATTTTTAGCATTGTTAAGAGAATAACTTTCAAAAAAAATAAGGGTTAGCAAAATCAAACACACATGACTCAATAGTAGTTTAGCATTGTTAAGAGAATAACTTTCAAAAAAAAAATAAGGGGTTAGCAAAATCAAACACACATGACTCAATAGTAATAAGCCTCTTTCCAAAATAGCAAAACGAAGAACTCTTCCATTAAAAGCCCATTTCAGCAAGACATCTAAATCACAAAGCATGTTCAAAACATTCAGTCCATAAGGTTCAAAGTCTCTAAACCTAAGAACCCAAACATCAGTCTGATAACCAAAAGATTATATAGATAATGGAAAAAAGCACAAAACAAAGCTTCAGTGACGCAGAAAACAGAATCTCCGTCTAAAACAAGTCATAAACAATCACAAAGTAGGAAAAAACAAACCACTAACCTCTCTCAGAATCCGAAGTCGTCTCGAAATGACTAAGAAAAAGGAAGTCTTATGGCACCAAGAATGACTCTTTTCCTCTACAAATAACAAAGCGGCGAATGTGAAACCGCAGGGCAGAACGACAGGCACGCTTCCTCCAATGCAGTCGACGCGGTGCAAAACCTCCAATGCAAAGAAGGGAGAGTGACCCAGAGAGAGACAGAGACATCAACTATGCTAATTTCGAGATCTTCCCGGTGTCGCGATTCGAACTTTTGTTGTTCTTATAGAGTAACTGTTTAACTAAAGGGTTCATGGACAGGAGAAGGGGTCATTATGGCCTATCACAGAAGTTGAACTATGTCGTTAGCTATGGTGTTGTTTAGTTTAAATTGGTAGGAAGGAGTATTTCAACTCGCTCTTGTGAATTGTCTGTGAAACGAGCAACACACGGATATTCTCCACTAGTAACTAGTCTTTAGTCTTGAAAAAAAAAAAAGTATTTATGTGTATATATATATATATATATATTTTATTTATTCATTTATTTATTTAGTTATTTACATTTTTACTAAATATGATCAAAGCTTATGGAGTCATGAGCTTAAGCTCAAATTCAAGCTCGTATATTAAACGAGCTAGTTTGAACGCCGGCTCTATACTTAGTAAAAATTTAAGAGATTAAATTAATAAAAAGTTTATGCTTTAAAAAGTAAAAACAATAAAATAAAAACATTCGGCGCGGTCTTTTATTGAAAATGATATGGTAGATTCTTCATCTATTCCATAAATAAATCTCTTTATACTTTTTTTTGTTTCAGTTTTTTGTTTTTTTTTTTGTTTTTGAGGAAGTGGTTCTTTCACCCAAGTCATTATTTGTTTAGCTTGAACATCAATGCTTATTCCGTCGAGCACTAGCTATGGCGGTCTCCAACGACGATTCAGGTAGCTTTCTTATCGAACTCTCAAGTTGAACTCTCGAGCTTCGTGATAAAAGTACGAGTCGAGTTCGAGCTTATAATATAGGCTTGACACGAGCTTGAGTTTGAGCTGTAATTTTATCAGGCGAGCTGAGCTTGAGTTCATTGTGACTCGAGCTCAACATGGCTTGTTTGCACCCCTGCTAGCATTGAAACACTTTTAATTAGGCATCTTATGCCTCAAATTTTAATGAAAAATTTGCATTAGTAATGCATAATTCTTATGTATTTACATATCTCACATTAATTTGTATATTTACATACATAATACTTTGGTGTTTTAAACCCATGCATGAAAGGTATATTCCACTTTTAAAAAGTGATAATGGTGTTTGTGTAAATATGAAAGTTTGGCTGTGAAATGAGTAAATACATAAAAATTTTGTGCTATGGAGGAAGATGCCCCGACTTTAATATTATGGATGTTGCATGCAAAACTCACCTGATACTTTAAAAGCAGCCTCCATTAACCCCTCAATCATGTGTTAGAAGGCCTCCTATTCCAATTTGAGAGGCACTTATATATCCCTCATCAAACCCCCTAGTTTTGCATTCTCAAGCTTCATCCCTCTTCTCAAGATTTGTCCCTCTCCCTAAGTTTAGAACTTGTAATCTTCGTTCCTGCTCCGCCGAAAGCTACAAGATCTGTCTCCTTCATCAATAGTCCCTCACCCTAACATAGTGAGTCAATCACACACCTTTTATAGGTTTCACAGTTTTTAAATAACAATATTTTGAGTGTTATATATGTAATTACTTTATTTTAAATACAGTGATATGTGGTTTCAAAAAAAATGTGTGATTGAAGAGGCGTGAATTAGGCAAAACTGTAAAATGGTTGGTGATCTATAATTCCTTGGGATTCATATTCAAGGGATTTTAATTTTTGAAACTATAAATTCATTATTCTTTGAACTTAAGTTTTGACTAAAAACAACCGATTGATCTTTTTATGGGAATTCTGTGAAGGAATTTTTTTATAGGTTTCTGTTGGAGAGTGGAAGAAGCAAATATTGCTCTTGTATTTCTCAAATTTGAGGGTTTTTTGGCGGGAAACTATTATTACTTTTATATCAATAGAAACTTTATAGATAAATAGCTACAACTTTGTAAATTTTTTTATTATTAGATGTTGAAGTCTGAGCAAAGTTTAGCACATTTCTTGAAAGCCTTAGACGTTGATTTAATCGTAAGGAATTACAGTAAATAAAATGAATAAAATAATGATAATAAGAATGAAAGGGATTTGAATAGAAACTCCTTTTTATATAGTAGTTTAGAAGGCGATTGAGAACCACATTAGGCAACTATTGATGCAGTTAAAATTTTTTAAGTTTGTGAATTGGTTGTTTATGTAGAGATATGTTAATTATTTGAAAAAAGGCTATGATGACATGCATAAGAAAATTTGGCAAGATCATTTTTGATGGTCTGCATTCAAGCAACTGATGTCCAAACCTTGATATTTTCTTCTACGGTTTTTTATTACTTGTTTCTTAATATGTACAATAAACAGTAGAAAATGCACCTACTGGATGGATACATAAAATTAATGTTTATTAGTTAGAAAGTGATACACTTAAAATATAGTTTTTTTTTGTACACATTTTTATACTTATTTTTGAGATATTGCGCTTTAATGAAAGGCATTTGTTTGTTTTTCTTTTCGGTACAATCAAATGGATGAAAAATAGTAAAAGGAGTGAAAAATAATCAAATTTGGAGCAAAAATGAAAAGAGTGTAAAAATGAACTAAGACGCCTAAGTGCCCAAGGCTGGACACGAAAATTCATTGAATTTGCAAAAATGAAAAAGGTGCAAAAATAAAAAGAGTGAAAAATGTTTAAATTACGCGCCAGTTAAACAGAGAGAGTCGGGCCTAAGCGTCAGGTACCCCGCGCTTAAGTCTCAGAAATAGTTATTTGATGATTCATTGAATTTGGACAAATTTTTTAAGAGGTGTTTGAGGCAACCCTTGATAAAAATGTGGGAAATAGTTCATGGACACGAAAATTCATTAATTGGCTTTTGAAATGAGGTAACTTCTAGAAGATTCATTGAATGGAGACACATTTTGAAGAGACACTGAGGCACCCCTTGGATTTTTAATAAAGAAGATTTGGATCATCAAAGGAAGAGGCCATCCACAACCAACCACCAATCATCTATCCATTCCAAGTAACCGCCGTCGTCGCGGCAGCACATTGCCGCCTCTATCGGCCACCTTTCTTTTTATTTTGAGTTTTAGTTCGTGTTGTGAGTGAAAGAAAAGAATTCAAAGGAACTTCAAGACATTTGGTGGAGAGGATTTGAGATAAGTGTTTAACTTTGTGACTACATTTGGTTTTAATTTAGACTTCTTATTTTTATGCTTGATTTATACTTTTAAACCCATGTGTGGTTGTGTTTTCTCCATGAATTCTGAGTAGTTTTCTCTATCTTTTTTCTTAAAATGATAAGAGATTAAGAATTGAAAGGAAGTTGTGTGAAGTATTAGATTTTTATGTTGGAAGAAGTTATGATGATTTTAAACCTTGTACTTCATTTACTTCTTGATTTGGTCAATTAAGATGTTAATACCTATTGTGAGAACATGTAAGATCCGAGATAGTATTGTCTCAGTCAACAAATGATAAGAATCACATTTGATTTCATGGATGAAAATGTAGTTCATGGGGTTGAGTACAAATAAATAGGAAAATAAAATTTGAAGGGTGTAGAATTAGAGAACTTTAGAGTGACAGACTAAAGCCCCCAATTTGATTTATAGTTTTAGGTTATAATACGAGATGTTAGTCCCCAAGTGGAGGGAGAAGATGGAACTCTAGAGTGAGAGCTAGTATCTTTCCTACCTAATTGGTCTTCAGGACTATTCAAACTATAGATTAGCCAATGTTCTTTATAGCATATCTAGTAAGGGTAAAGAATATGATTGCTCATATTTGGCACAACACAATTAGAATACTTTCACAATAGAATTTCTATACTTGTTACTGATTCATGATAAGGAAAAAAGATATTTTACTTCTATTGTCATCATCTTGCAAGTATTTAGTTAAGTTAAGTAGTTACTTATTTTTAATTATAAAAATTTACAAAAAGAATCGAATTTTCATTCCTATTTTAGCAACTAGAGTCTAAGTAAGAATACTTTGCTAAGTAAAATTTTGTTATCTAGTTTCCTTTATTTTATTGATACACCAAATATATATACATTTTTAGACCCATATTTTATACTCATTTTTTGTGATATTGCACTTTAAAGGAAGAAATTTTTTATGTTTTATTGCATGTTGTTGATTTTTAGGACTTGTTGTTGTATTTTTTATGTTTTATTGCATGTTGTTGATTTTTAGGACTTGGAGCAAAAAAGAAGCAAAAATTATAAAATTTTGAGTCAAAATAGAGGTTTTGAAAAATTTTTCAGTGCCGACGGCGCCATTTGTCAAAGAGCACTATCTAAATTAAATGGCCACTAGAGTCGACGGCCCCAAAATGGGCACCAACGACGCTAGTGTCGGTGCAGACCCTATTTCTAGAAGATTTGACGAATTTGGACACTTTTTGAAGAGTTTTTAGATGCACCTATTGGAAAACCGACCCTAGGCTCTATTTAGAGCCAAAATTGATCAGAAAAGAACTCTCCTTCACCCCCTTTCGCGCCTCTTTGCAACCTTAAACCACTTTCCACTTTCTTCCACACCATTAGTCATTTATTTTATTTATAATTTTGAGTTTTTATGGTGAGTTTAAGTGTGAATTCTTCTCTAAGAGTGTTGGAGAGGGAGAGAAGTGAGAGATTTCTTCTTCCTACATTTACTAAGAGAGACTACGAGGGATTTGCTTTGAGAAAGAGTTTCAGATAAGTGTTGTTTGTTTATTGTTGTTGTATGAACTTTATTTTATATATAAAAAAATTTGTTTGTTGTATCTTTCTCATGAAATGAATTCTGAGTAGTTTCCTTTATCTTTCTCCCTACTCTGAGATATGATGAAATAAAGAGATAATTTGGATGTGCTAATATTAAAATATAAAATAAATTGTGATGGTTTTTCAACTCTGTTCTTAATTTACTTTTTGATCTGACCAATTGAATTGTTAAAAATGTTGTGAAACATATGATCCGGGAAATGGAGTATGAGTTCTACAACAGAGTGAGAATCATATTTATTCCATGAAGGAGTGCTTCGTTCATGGAATTAAGTGAAAATAATTAGTGAAATATACATTATTGGGTGTAGAATTGGAGATTTTAGGGTGACAAACAAAAATCACTAA